TATATATATATATATAATTAATAGTAAATCAAACAAAAAGTTATTTTTATCTATTTATTTTTAAGACAGGTCACAACTGACCCGTTCATATCACAAGTGCGTGCGGGATCTCGCCCCGCTAGGAAGGTTAAATGAGCTAAAATCAACTTTTCATGTCATCATGTTCTTGAAGCCTCCAGTGAGGAAATTCATGCATTCATGTTTGAATAACTGCATTAAAACAAGAACATGGCAACACAATGGCTCAGTGGTTAGCGCTGTTGCCTCACAGTAAGAAGGTCCTGGGTTCAATCCCCTGTTGGCCCTGGGGTCTTTCTGTGTAGAGTTTGCATGTTATTCTCATGCTTGCTTGGGTTTTCTCCAGTTTCCCCCCACAGACCAAAAACATGCATGTTAGTCTGGCTTCAGGCCTCTCTTGTTAAAAAATTAAAATTGTGATCCCATTGGGATTTGCCTGGTTAAGTAAAGCTTAATACTAAAATAATAATAATGTATTTAAGAGGCGCTCGTGTTATTTGCACCATTTTAAATTAGGAATTTGAAATCTTTGTCATCCAGCTTCCATTAAAACATTTTAAACTTCTTGTTTGTCGTAGCTCAACATGTCAAATGATAATTTCACGCATTTAAATGCACCGGTTTTTTTTTGTGGCTGCATGATTTCAGGGACCTGGCGGAGCGATCCAAAGCTGAAACCCTCCACATTTTCAATGCAGAGCTTTGGTTATAACCAATTTATTGTTCACACTGAATTAAGAGCCATTTCACAGAGAGCTGTGAAATATTAAATAGGTCTGGCAGCTCGCTGGTCAGAAAATGAAGCTGAAAACTCTCTGTGGATCTTAGCCTGCCCTCAATACAGCCTCTTATCACTGCGCCCTTCAGAGTCGACCAGCTCACTGAAATATGGTGAAGTGTCCGAGTTTTACTTTATTCATCTCTGCTGTGAGCAGTCTATGTTTCCCTCTGGCTGTGGCTTGTTTCTGTCAAAACCTAAATGAATCACAAACCACATTAAAGCTAGAGGAGTGTAATAAAGGCACAATTACCTCACCTGCTGAGATCAAGCTCATCTCCTGTGTTTTCTTTTTTATTTTACTTTACACTCAATACGCTCTTTAAATATAAAATACAAAAATATAAAATAATTGTTGAATCTTTATTCAAACCAAACTTAACTTTCAGACTTAGTTAAAGTTGTGATTACTGTGAGGAAATAAAATCTTTTGAGAAAAGTTTTTTTTTTTCATTTTAAATCATTTTTGGTCAATATTTCTTCAAGGTTGTGCAGAACTAAACATTTATTTTAAAATATTTAATGTGTTTCAAGTTCAAGGTTATTTATTGTCATTCATATTACAAGTGGTACATGAGGTGGAATGAAATTATGTACTCAACATCCCAGTTACACCCAAAAATAGCAGAAATATAAAGTATATGAAGAAACGGTATATAAGGATCTAAGAAATACACTAAGATATACTTAACAGTAATAATGTAAAATAATACGGTATATTAAACTGTAGCAGGTTTTATTACATGAAGTGACAGAAGCACAACGTTCACTGTTAATACAGATCAAAACAATTAAAGTTATTTTTCAGTTTAATTAAAATGTAGCATTTAACTGCAGATTATCTCAGTTAAGTTTCATAAACAGTCTCGTTTTATAAGAAAGGTCATCTCAGATCACTTTAAATAAAAAGGCAAACAAGTTCAATTTAAAGTCTAAACATATACTCTTTTTAAACGTGATTTATTTCAGTTAAATACATTTTTTAAAGATCATTATTTTACTGCAAACCAAATCCCAAAATATTTGACAAATTTTCTGAAATTTATTTTTTTAATGATCACTTTTTAAAGAACAAATGAAACAAACTGAGTATATTTCTTCTTTATATCAATGCTTCTGCCTGA